TTTATTTAATAGAGATTAACTTGACTTTCAGATGTAGGAGGTGCATTGGTATTGTTTTCTGAATCAGATAATTGAGATTAATATAGAAAAATTTTAGATCTTTTTAATTTTGACTAAATTTAAGTTAATATTATTTTTATCAATAATATAATCAAAAAATAAAGATTTTGAAATTATTTAAATACAAATTAATAATTATAAGTTTATAATGATGATTTTTATTATAATTAATTCTTAGAAGCATGGAATTTATCAAAATAACTATGTTTCATATATTTCGTAATTAAGATCAAATAAAAAAAGAAATCTTGTTACCTTCGAATATCTGTTCACGATCACAATCATCAGGAAAATTAGCTTTACCATCTGCCAAGTATTTTGGCAGTAATATGATCCCAATATCATATTGAAGGTCTGGCGTATTGCATTGCTTCCAATTTGACTTTCAAAATTTAGTAATAGGCTAATTTTAGACTTCAGAGTATTCATTCCTACGGGGAAAAGATTGTATTTCTAAATCATAGTTCAATAGAATGGATATATTTATCAGTCGCCAGCCGCACCACATGTTTGCTTTCAGAAGATAAATGTGGTGTTCTTCTAAAATCAGTTTAATATTGGTTAATTTATTAGTTTTCCGTTTTGACCCAGTATATAGCTGGAAATGTATTAATGAATCTTTTTTTTAAATTTATTAGGAGCCTCTCCTATACCAGATTCATTTTTGTTTGTTTCTTTTGATTGAGTCCAATCCGTCTTTGCCGTACGTTCCCCTTTTTATGGCTCCCCTTTTAAGGCTTGAATTTCTTGCAACACATTTCTCTTCTTTGCTAAAAAGGTCCTGATTGATTTCAGAATCCCAGCTAAACTAACTGAATTGAAACAAAATATTGCCATTCAAATAATTGTTATGATGATTTATGTTGTTGATGATTCATATTTACACGTGTAAGCTAGTAGAGTATAACATGTCGGTGCATTTTACCGGTAGAACTTATTCTGTTAAATAACCAGCAAATCACGCAGACAACATTAATAATAAAATTAGACATAAACAGAAATGATTCATTAAACCAGGTTTACTATACATGAATTAGGTCCTCTCCTCCCTCGAACCACCCACGGGCCAGTTCCCGGCACCTCGCTTGCGTTGCTTAGATTCGTATTCGTGCCAGTCACCTTGAATTTCTGGAAGTCTAATTTTACAAAAAATAAAATTAACGGTTAGAACAAATTGCTTGTATAAAGAAGGTGTTAATAAATAAATATTTACTCTTCCAGGGAGCACGCTGTAGGCATCTCCTCTATGAAGAAGCTGAAATTCAAAGCTTTCCGAGCAGTGGGACGGTTCTCGGGATTCAAAGACAACAGAGCTTCCGCTAGCTCCATAGCTGCAGTAGTTAGGACCCTATATTTATGAAGTTTATGAGTTTATTGTTTCAAATAGAAATTATCAATAAAGCATTTATTAGTTGGATCAACTAACCCCCCGTATTTTTCTTGCAATTTTGGCATCGACTCCGTAGCAGGTGCCATCAAGTCGTACCACGGCAAATCCACTACATCTGGCCACTTTTCAGGAGATGGCGAGCCCAGCAGTTGAAAAATATTTTCCAGCTGACTAAGTTCATCTGACCCTTGGAAAAGTGGCTTGCGCGTAAACAACTCCATGAGAATACATCTATTAAATAATTTTTCAAAAAATTAACAACTCAATAATGTACTATGCAAACATTAAAAAAAATAGTATTTACCCTGCACTCCACATATCCACTTCTGGCCCATACTCCGTCGCCCCCAAGCACAACTCAGGTGGACGGTACCACAAGGTTACCACCCTATTCGTATAGTCTTGCTGGCGTTTGCTATCGTATTTACGTGCCAGCCCGAAATCACCCAATTTTAATTGACCACGATTGTTCAGCAGGAGATTTGACCCTATTAAATTTTATTTATTTTGAATAACTCTACCACCTTAATATTGTCATTTATAGTTTTATAAGCTTTACCTTTAATATCCCTGTGTAAGATCCCTCGTTCATGCAGCACGACTAGACCTTCTAGCAATTGTTTCATTAAGCATTTGATGTGTTGTACTTCGAACTTGATTTGAGGATTCGCTAGCACTCCCGTGAGGTCGTGGTCCATGTACTCGAATACCATGTATACGACTCCTATAAATATAATATTAAGAGTTAAGACATTTATCTTATGTAATTGACAGAAATATGTATAACTTACCGCTTGTCACCATTATCTCTAACAGTTTCACAATATGGTCATTTCTGAGCGATTGAAGTAGCTTTATTTCTCTTAATGCTGTCAAAGGGAACTAAAAATAATTATGATTATTAACTTTTGGTTTTTTATTCATCTAAGGGGTAATAACAACAATAATAATGTTATTACTAAGCTACTTACACCTTCCTTTTCCGCCTCCATTCTAATTTTCTTCAACGCTACAATATTGCCAGTTTCTCGATTTCGTGCTTTATACACTTTACCGAAGGTTCCTTCACCAACCTGTCCCAATTTTTCGTACAGTTCAGTCGGTTTATTCATCAAAGGAGTTACCTGAATAGGTGATGGGTTAAGCTTTGTTTCTGCTGTATTTTCCGATCCCATTAAACTTTTTTCCGGCATGTTTCCCATGTATGTTGGAGCTTCTGCGACTATTTGGGAAGGCATGGGAGGATAATTGGATGCTGGCGGAAGTTGTTGATCTTGAAGATAGGATTGATTAAGATGCGCAAATTGAGACTGAGGTGGATACTGGGCAAATTGTGTAGATTGTTGCTTGTTGTCATATGCGTAATGATTACTGGTAGACTGAATACCAGTCATAAATGGTAATTGAGGTGGATATGACTGATACGATTCTGGCGGATATGAAAAGCTATTATTGCCGATATTTGGATTACTAGGGATTTGTGATCGAAATGTATTGGAGCGTTGATCCCACGAAGGTGCTATTCGAGGAGGTAATTGACCTTGGAAGGGTGCTGGATGTTGTAGGTGTGGAGGAAGCGATTGTTCTGAGAATAACTGATTTTGTAGATTAGGCGGTGCACCAGGCGGTCCATTCGGATTTTGGATATTTTGTTGTTGTTGCAAATGTGGTAACTGTCCATGAACTAAATAATTATGACTTTGTGATAATAAATTCGTTGTTCCAGGTGGTGGAGGTTGATGATGTGATGCATTATTATTAATTAGATCACTTGTCCATGTATGCTCACCACTTGGATGTTGTTGATATTGCTGTTGTTGTTGTTGATACAATTGTTGATGATGAGGGGGATGATGTTGACTATAGTGCGGATGTATGGATGGTTGTTGTGGTGGTAATTGCTGCGTTGAGTGTAGACCACCATGTTGATGATGACCATGATGAATTTGTTGATGATGTTGATATTGTTGTGGCTGATGTGAATAATGTTCGTGTTCATGTTGATTTACATGATGTTGTGAATGTTCATGGTCATTGCTATTGTCATAATTTCGGTTATTGTCATAATTTCGATGATTTTGATTTTGATGCCATCGGTCGTTAAACCGTCGATTCCGATGCATATTCTCATTAGTATTGTTATTGTTATTATTATAAT